TAAAAACAGTATTCTTATACAATGATTAATGAAAATGGTGGTCACAGATTTGTTCAACAAGTTGTATAATTGATTCATATATATTAATTCATGCACTTTTTTTTTCTAGGTCACCATTATTGTCAAAGTGTCAACCTTTTTGGGTGTGCGATGAAGGGTTCACAAACCGATGCATTTGCTACAAATTTTCTTTGTTTAAATCATATTGCTGAAGCAATCTTACCCACCAACGGAAATCATGTGGAGATCCACATGCCTTGATGCAATTGGGTAATAAATCAGAGAGGTAAATTCATCACATCACATGTCCAAAAGAATAGTTTTTGAGACGCCTAACGTTCAGATGTAGAAATCTTATATTGTTTTTCCTCTGCGCGGCGGTGTTCCTCTCTCGAACGCAAACTATTTGTCCATCAAGAAATGGTTTCCACATGGTGATATGGTATGACACTCTCCTTAGTTAGCACACCTTATTTTTTCTTTTTGGAACTGACAATGCTTTGGCATCTATTTTGTGCAATGATTTCTTAGCATCTTAACGGTCAATTAAAACTACTATGATTCGCGGTTCTTATTAGTGATATTTCTTTTCTTAAATTTAAGAATGAGTCACAAAGTTCGAGTTATTCACTCTTGTTGATAAATAAAATAAAATAATTTTGTTCAACTGTGCACTCATAATTGGCAGTCTAACAAATTAGGTGTAATAAATTAAGTTGAGAAGTGTAGGTTTCTGTTTCACTTAGATACAATATCGATAAAATCATATCGATGAACTTTTTAAGCAATTGTGGGGATATCGAAATAATACTTATACGTCTATGTCATTTAAAAATAATACTTACGTTGAATTTATACTCGAACAAATGACTTATAACTTAAGTGGTAAAGAAAAATCCTACTTTCACTCATAGTTATCCCCTTTGTGTAAAGGAAAAAAAGAGAAGGTAAGTTCACATAAACAATGTTCTTGGGAAGAATGTAATATTACAAGGCATTATGCATAACAAATTTTTCTTTTCTAATATTTTTGTCAGAGGCCATACCAATTGTAGTGGGAACTTCATCATTTGTTTACCTCTATCATGAAAGAAAAAGGCATGATTGGAAAGGGCCCATAAAGATATGCTAAATTAATAATGGTTTTAAAAACATGTATATATTAGTGGTACAACAATATATATGATTGGAGGGCCCCATTGGGATCTGGTAGCTTTATTTCTGAAGAATCACACATTAATGGAATTGAGATATGCATATATTACATGTAAAAGTGAGTGAGTCAGAGATACCAGATTTTGTTATTAAGTTCACAGTGTGAGTGTGACCCCGTTCAGCTCACTTGGTTTCTTTATTCCATGCAAGCCTGCATGCAACAGACGATATATCCATTCTATCTGCTGCCTCAATTCGAAGGAAATTTGAGAAAGACCTGACCCCTCCCCACATGATCTCTTTCATCTCCTTCTGCAGTACTTGGAGATGCACCTCTTCTGGCGCATAGTTTTTCTGCATCAATTATTAATGTTTGCGTTGCATGCATGCATATGCATTCTCGCTTAGAGAAACTAATTATATCGTATTTCCATTTTATTGAGAGCTGATATATCCACTTCATACGAAACTTTCTATACATTATATTTATATGCATTCAGTGACGGAACTAGGGTTTCAGGTAAAAGAATGCGTTTCACAGAAAAAAGTTAGAGAACTTATAATATGAATGATAAATTCTTGACTCATTGTCCAAATTTACATATCGAATAGCGTTTACCAAATGTCCTATTAGTAAGTGGATGCACTATAACAGAGGTACACATGCACAAAGAGATTCTATATTTATTTAATTGATTTCTTAATTTGTTTAAATAACGTCCAAAACCAAGGGGAGCTCATGTCATGTGATCATCAAGAAACAAAGAAAAGTTAAAACTAGATCGATCAAACCCCTCTGAAAAGCCATAATTAAAACCCAATCGAAGTACGGACTTTGTGCTCCTTCATCATATGCATTGCAATCATCCAGTGCTTAAGATAATGAAAGACACCTATCCCAATATCTAGATAATAACCAAAACCAGAACCCAATTAAAGAACCCTCTACATCTAATTGTACGATTGTCCATCTCCTTTGACCTTTGACCAAATAATTAGTGTCCATTATTACTTCCTATTTTAATACATGTTGGTTGCATGACCCATAGTTTCATCCATAGTTTCATTCCCTATTTGTTAATTGGCACACTTAATAATTTAAATAGGATCCATTCCATATAATAGTTGGACTTGAGTTCATTTGTCAACACTGAAGTACTTTAAATTAATCTAATTTATGAGGAGATTCGAATTTGAGTGTAAGGAGGTAGGAGTACACAGACCAACTTGCCTAACCTATACATCTACATCAACACTTATTATATAATACAATGTCTATTGACAAAACAGGGAGTTCAAAAAATAGTCGGAGATAATTGGTAAGATAACTCTTAGTTTAGTGGTTTTTCTTTTTTCAGTTATAAAAAGTGTCTCTAATTCTATTGCTTCCCCCTATTTGATTAAAAAAGAGAGACATTAAAACTGTTGAGATAAATTACTGTTTGAGGTCAATATGTCTTTCTAAATATGTAATACAAATTGATAATCTAATAACATAATATAAAACAAGAAAGCATACACTTACTTCGTAATCACTTCCCTCGTTGTTTAAGATAGAGAGAAGAAGGTGATCTTAGATATTTTTTCATTTACAATTATGATTTTTTATATAGTTTTTAGTGAATTAAGTAGTTGAATCCTAATTGAAAGGGCACACATTATGTTCAATTGGTGGTTGCAAAAAATTAAATAAAATAAAAACATAAAATACTCCTTTTACGTGCATATAAACTTTTTGTCATGGGATGCTACAACTTTAAAAAAAATAAAAATAAAGTTGATCGAGTAGTAATTATGAGATGCTCTGCAATTGAAGATTTCCCATCTTAACATATGACATAAAGTTTTCTTGTATCAAAATCAACATACCCCAACTAATCATTTAATTAATGCAGTGTTAGTCAAACGATTAGAAAAGGATGCATAATTAGTGATCATTGGTAGAATGAAAAGGACTTCCATGTTCTCTCTATGTACATCCGTTTCGACTTGTGAGCTAATTACTATTTTATTGGATTATTTCTCTCTAATTTTGGATTAAAATAAGTGCTTTTCACATGGAATTCCATAGGGTGCCATCTTCCACGATCTTCTTAGCATCTCAAACCTTAATAAACAATATACCAATTCAATTAAAAAGATTAAATAGACATAAAGTACGGATACCAAGCCAGAAAAAGCTTGGAGAGTTCATAATGTTGGCAAATCCCTCTGGATGCCTTGTGGGATTTTGACTGTTAAGGCAGTTGCCTTAGAACATTTCCAACCGATGTGTCAAAAGTGCCACATAGATATTTAACGGCTAAAAATAACACCTCACATCACTCCAATCGATGTGTCAAAGCTGATGTGGAATGAAGGCTGGAGGTTGAGATATTATTTTTGACATCCCAAAAGCAATATGTCAAATGAATATTTTATTATTTTTAAAAGATAGTTGGCTGTTACTTTCATTTATTATTATTTTTTTATTTTTCTTATTCTTTATCTTAAATGATTTGACTGTTACAATAATTATTTATTTGACATATCGGGTGGAGTGTAAAACTGTATAAATGTCAAATTGCCACATTAGCCGTCAAATTTAAATTTGATGTTTGGTATTTGACATCTTCCTTGGAGATGCTATCATAAACCAGTTGCAATTAAAAAACACTATCTTTGCCAAAAAATTTGACATCCAAACATGGGCATTGTCAGAGAGGTAAAAGTAGCTCAACCCTAATTCAGAAAAAGTCTCTAATAATAAATTTTCAATATATACTGAGGGAGGAGGGAGCTGGATGAGCTTGAACTGTTGGAATTTTGGTTTTGAAAATGACAAATTAAATATTATATGTATACATTAATTGCAAAAATGGGATGGATTCATTAATTAGATTCTACTTTTAATTAACTTGCAATTGGACATATAAGATTAGAGGAAAGAAGGGAAATATTTTTGCTCACCACTTTAACCCAATGTGTATGCTCACTACCCTTCTTAATACTTGACACATGTTCAAAGGTATAACCATGTTTAACTTTTTACTTTGATTTATGTAACCATGTTTATGCTTATAAACACGTGTCAAGTGTTGAGAAGGGCGATGAGTATACACATTGGGTTAAAGTGGTGAGCAAAAATGCTCCCGGAAAGAAGAGGGGAGAAAAAAAGGAGGATCCAATGATATGTGCATGTAGATCTAACAAAAACTTAAATTTGCATGGATCCAATGGAGTGGATTGGCTAAGAATATTAGTGTGGGAAAATTAAAAACAATTGTACGGATAACCATATATACATGTATTAGATTCCATTTTGGGTTCCACCAAAAGAAAAAAGAAAAAAAAAATTCCATTTTGGGATTATTAATTTTTCTAGATCTTACATTGTGGAATATTATTGTACAAATCTTTTGTAATGTAAGGTTACTTAATCAATGTCATGAATAGACTATCCATATAGTTTAACCAATAAAATCATGAAATCAATCTCAAATGGTTTTGGTGAAGCATGTCATTTCAAATTCATGCTTTTGTGACCTTGTTGGAGACTTGGAGCAAAGTTAAAGATTTGTTCTTCCCTTTAGTTGTTTCAAATTCATGCTGTTGTGACTTTGTTGGAGACTTGTTTTCCCTTTAGTTGTTTTTTTCTTCTTCCAGTTTCCTCTGGGTGACAATATTTGAACTTAGAATCTAATAACCCTAATTTTGTGAACTTGAGGGAGGGAATAAATAAATAAAAACAGTAAAAGAAAATGCAAAAACCAAGATAGTCAGGCCTCAGTAATCTGGAAGGTAGCAGGTGCCACTAGATACCTAGGGATTAAACAAACAAAGACCTTGATGGGTTCTGAGTCTTGAGGCAGTTGCACCAGCAACCGACGTACCCGAAATGTAATGATAATAGCAAATAAAATATTTCCCGAAACAATTAAAATATTGCAAGCAATTCATCACTCTCAGCCTCCCCAGCTCCTTTAAATCCTTCCACCTGCTTGAGACTTCACACCAATGAACTAAGAAGAACAGAACACAAACCCCTACTTTTGTCCTGCATCTGCTAGCTAGCCCCATTTCTACTTCATGGATTCAAAGAAGTCTAACAAGATCAGAGAGATTGTTAGGCTCCAACAGATCCTAAAGAAGTGGAAGAAGCTAGCAAATGCCCCTAAAAACACAAACCCCAGCACCAATTCATCCTCAACCAATAGCACAAATAGTCTCAACAGTTCTACTTCTATTAGCAGCAGCAGAAGCATGAAGTTTATTAAGAGAACACTCTCCTTCTCAGATGTCTCAGCGGCTCAAAACGACGTTGTACCGAAAGGGTTTCTTGCCATTTGTGTTGGGAAGGAGCTGAAGAGATTCATCATCCCAACTGAGTACTTGGGGCACCAAGCTTTTCGGATTCTGCTCCGGGAAGCCGAAGAGGAGTTCGGGTTTCAGCAAGAAGGTGTGCTCAAGATTCCATGTGAAGTGACTGTATTTGAGAAGATCTTGAAGGTGGTTGAAGAGAAAAGGGAGGTGTTCTTCTTGCACAATGAGTTTGGATTCATTAATGCAGAGAAAGACAAGATTGATTTTTGCTCCTCCCCATCAGATTGTGAGCTTACACCTTCTCATCACCCCCAAATGTGTAGATGATAACGCTCTTGATTTTGAGTACATGTTCTTCACCATATTTTTCGTCTTTCTTTTGCATCATTTTGTGAAGATAAATGTAATGGAAAGAGAGCACAGTGTGATTAGAGGAGGATTTAGAGATGAATTAATAATAAGGTAGATTTCATGTTCTGCAGGGGAGTTATTAGCTTACTAGTTGGATTGGATATCATTAATCAAGATCCAAGTAAGCTATGTTGTATCTATCTACCACCACTTTTAGTGCAAGGGATATGAAGTTTTCATCATTCAACAGCAGAAATATTATTTAGTTTAGGATTTAAATGTCACTGCAAATTTTCTGAGTTTTCATCCCATGAATTAATGACTGATGAGAGGAAGAAAAAGAATCTCTCTATAAGTTTAGCTCCAAGTCAAAACAGGGGAGAGAATAAAAGCAGCGGTCCTGAAAATGAGAAATCTCATAATCTTCATATGATGATGAAGTGATGAATTTAATCTTTGCTTTGAAAGGAAATACCATCCATGACAGAAATGGTGCTTCTGTTGTGGAAGTGCTTTTGAATGTTTTCTAGTTGAGAACTGTGTAGACTAGTCGGCACAGGGTTTGCAGAGACTTTAAATTTTTATTTATTTATTTATTTTTTCCAACAGCATCTTCCAATAACCAATGTAATGCTTTGCTCAAGGCATTGTGGGAACTGAGAGAAATGCAAGTAGCGTTTGTTAATTAAATTGCATACATATAACATATTATTATTATAATGGACTCAGTTTACGGACATCTGAGTTATCCTGCTGCTGCCAGCCCTGAGCATGATACAGAAACCTCAAGCTTCTGCTATCAAAACTCACATGCAACTCCCATTGCTTTCATTTTTTAATCATTTTATTTATTTGTATTTCAAAATTTTATTTTATATTTCAAAATAGTATTGTAATAAATGAAAAGAAAAGAAATAGGCTGGCATAGTCAAATTGGTTAGAGCGGATGTGCTCTCCACTCTGCACCCGAGTTTGATTTCCTCTCCTCGTAGTTTAGATTAGATTAAAGTACATTATCGCTTGTATAAACAAATGAAAAGGAGGTTTAACCATGTCCAAAAAACCATGGGCCGGTGCATGTTGGTCCATTTCTTTTATTGAGGGATAATATTGAAACAAGGATGTCTCAGAACCCCTTTTTTTGGGTGGTTCTTTTCTCTTTTAAGTTTTGATGATCGAAGTGCAATCTGATCCTTTCGAACACATAAGTTTTGAAAATCAAAGGGCTAATTGCATGTTAGTTGCAAATGTTTTCTTGAGAAGCTAGATAAATGATTCTCCAGAGGAAGCAAAAAGGACTTATTTGGAAGTGCTTTTGACAATTCCAAAAGCACTTTCAAAGAAGGCGTGCTGTCCCCACATGAAAAACATATATATGAAACAAAAATTTCAAACTCAAATCAATCCAAGTAGATGAAGTAAATGATAACAATTTTTTTCTTTTGTCTGTAATTTCTGAACCAAATTTATACACATTCTGCTTCTGCCTAAATTGTAGGAGAAGGGATTAAAAGAAAAAACAAAAGGTTGCATTAGTTAATTACACCTTTCTCTTCTTATCATTCTTCTTACTTGCCAAACACCTGACCAAAATATGCTCAAAATCCTCTTCATCACAAGGGATTTTGAGTGCACCTTCTTGCTCAAATCCATACTCCTCAGCCACTCTATCCATCAAAACCCTAAAATCCGGTGATGACAAACAGCTCATGGGAATCACAAACCTTCGAAGCTCCGGCCCAACATAAACTGCCAAGAACCCTTTTGGAACTTGCAGCACCGAACTACCACCCTGTCGGCCATCGGACAGCTCTCCGGTGAGCAACTCAGAGGTCTCACCGGACTCTGCGATTCTTATGGTCATGTTCTTTCCAGAAACAGCTTCAGATTCGTGGTTGAGTGGAGGCAACCATAGCCGTAGGCGGTGGATGTTCATGTGCTTGGGCCATGCAATGTGTCTTATTCGCTGCTGCTTCATATTGCACTGCTGGTGATGAATGATGATGAAATTAGGTATGGCTTTGAACCTTGGGTGAGAAATCTTGGCGAGCCAAGTCCATGCATGCAAAAAAGGGTTTCATGATTCATAAGAAGATAGAATTCATGTCGGAATTTTAATCTTTTTACGAACAACCACAAATTAGAACACCTTTTTTTTTGTTGGTAGTGTTTTCGCAGAGAAAAAGTTTCTTATAACGCAAGAAAAAACTCTTTCTCTGCGAAACTCAACATGTTTTGAGTTGGGGAGGAACTAGTCATAATCGGTTTAGGATTTGTTAATTGTTAAGTTGGCTGTAAATTTTGTTGACATTTAAATAGAAATTCAGACCATTTAGAGTCTAGATTTGTTGAGTGCTCCGCCGTGGAATTCTCACAGCCATTTCTATATTTGGCTTGTCCACGTGCTGTATAGATTTGGCTGCCATTATGTATACGGTCGATATAATACAGCTGAGGGGTTGGCATTTTTGGCGTTGTTATAGTGTAATAATAAATTAATGAGCATAAGCCATCTAGAATTTTTCAGCCACAATTTTTTTTTATAGTGATCATGGAATGGGTTTCACTATAATTGAGAATGAGAAATGTGGTCAGGAATGTAGTTCGTAGATGTGTGAACTTATAAAAGTAGTGTACGTTAACCACATTTTTTATTATAGATGATCATGAGACTCGCATGAAATCCACCTCTATAATTGAGTTTCACAGTCCATGAATAATTAGACCTCATTCACAAATTCACATTGACATTACATTGATGCCAAATTTGGAATAGACCAAAGTGTACTTTAGTTAAAACCAAGAGCCACCCTTTTTGTTTTCACCTGAAGATATAAAAACACAACTGGCGTATGCATCTGAATTTAGCTAGAATTAAGGTAAATAGATTGGAGAAATCGATCATAACAATTTGTGTGCTATTGGTTAATAAGGACTGAACCTTGCTAAAGATATTTGATGTTGTGACTTGTGAGCTGTAACAGATACATATCAATTGCTATAATCTTGTTAGCTAGACTTTGGATACAACGATAGATAGGCAACAATTATATCTCTGTAGATGAAGATGGGCTAGCTACATGATCCGAATCTAATTCACATTTCGGTGGAAGAATCCAAATATCATGAAAATATATAAATTCCATACGGATAAAGTTTTATAACATTCCGATCGAAAAGTTATCGTGCCCTCCTTGAAGTGCAAATTATCTTCTATGTTTTTATAAAAGAACAATGTATGATGATTTTTTTAGAATGTCAACAACAGCTATGGCGTAAATTAGGTATTTTATACCAAACGGATTTTAGCATTTAATAGGATAGGAATTTGTTGTCATTTGAGTCTTAGTGCTAACCAATGCTAAGCTTGCATTACCTTGTAGTTTATTAAAAAAATAAATGTATTAAATATGTACATGGACATTCAAGAAGCTACATTTGGAAACCTTATATATACACTCTTCTCACTTTCATGAGTTTCACAACATATATACCATGGGGATATATTAGCATGAGTGGTATGACAATCCAACCCTTGTCATCACCATTCTCCATCTTTCATTTCCTAATGGCAACCTCAAGCAAAAGGGTCAAAACAATCAGGCAAGCCATCCAACTCAAACAAGTGATGAAACTTTGGAAGGCCATAAGCCTCAATGTGAAATCTTCTCTCGCTCCCTCCGGCTTCCTTCCTGTGTACATTGGATGGGATCGAATCCGATTCTTGATCCCGACCCGCTTCCTCAACTTCCCAATCTTCGTAGCTCTTCTTGATAAATCTGGGGAGGAGTTCGGGTTCAAGGCCAGTGGAGGCATAGTGTTGCCATGTGATGTTGTGTTCTTCAAAGAAGTCTTGAGCTTGCTTAAAAAAGATGAGAAAATGTATGGGAGCTTGGAGTTGCCTGAGTTCTTGAAGATGGTTTCTGAGGTGCGTAATTTTGAATCCTCTACGATATGCAACAAGGAAGATAGTATGTGTTGTGATCATCGCCATGGATTTAGACCTCTATTGCAGAAAGCTAGGGTCTGATTATTATTTATGTTATATGGACATTCTTTTAACGATGGTGGGTGGAAAATTATAGTTTTGTCATTCCATCGTTTGATTAATTTAAGCTGTTTGTAGCTTTAAGATTCTAATTTCAATTTCGTATCTCGTTTTGCTAATTGTGAACTTATGGGCGAGAGTTTATTGTATTGTTCACCATCGAGAATGAGGTGGAAGTTTTTTTGTTGGTTAAATAGTACAAATTTATGTGGATCATATAGCCATGGAGAGTTCCTCATCTGCTTTGCACCTAGGCCTTTTGTTATGGTTTTTCTTGAAGTGAAAAAATGGAGTGCAATCTGTACTAGAATTTCAACACTGATGAATTCACAATTTCGATGATGTACCAAATAACTCTTAAATTGCATTTTTTTTTATTCCACGGAAAAAGGAAAAACATGTTTCAAAATAGAAGAAACCAAAACTATAAGTTTTTCTTTCATTTCGATAGAAAAAAAAAATGTTTTTCTTTCATTAATATCGTTGACGGGTCACCAATCTTATCTGGAGGGCCCACTTAACTCAAATAGTTTCGACGAGATTGTGTTGTGTCTCTGTGTTAGCACCAAAAAAAAACAAAAAAAAAACAGAGAGAGAGAGAGAGAGAGAAACACAGACAGTCGCATAGCAGACCGTTAATCTGAAATTTTGGAGAAAACGAGCTGCAAAAACACAGTCATGTCACTCGCAGCAACAACAGCGATGACGATGACGACATGTCGTTTCTTTAAGGTCAAAATTCAATGCTCTGATTCGAAGCCCAGAACTGGTTTCGGAACCAAAACCAACAATAAGAACAAAAACCGGAACAAGAACAACCTCAATCAGGTACCATTTTTGGAATTGATGACCAAGATTAAGCCTTTCTTTATGGTTTAGTTAAATTTGTAATCTTTTTATTGAAAAAATCTGTGCTAAAACTTAACATTTTTGGAGCAGGAATCAACCACTAAACGTTCGGGTGCTGTTCCTACCCGTAAGTGAATCAACCTTTTATTATTATTATTTATTTTTGGCATCTACCCAACTTTCCTTTTCCAGATATGTTGCAAATTTCATGACCAACTTGAAGGCTTGTTTAATCATTTTCTAGTCCCACACTCTTGTTTGATTAGTGGGTTGTGCTCCTTATAAGTTGTATTCTTCTGTTGGGTTATCATTACATTCAATTCAAGGTCACATTTTTGTTTATAGAGGCACCTGGATTGAATTCTAGATTTGATGGAAAGGTTAAGAGAAACCCTGCTGACCTTGAGTTTGAGGAACGTCTGCAAGCAGTCAGAAGGTAAAAATTGTGCGTGTGGATTGCTGCATTAGCATATCATAAGAGCTGATTGGATGGTTCCATATTCATAATTTTTAGTATAGAATTATTTCCAATGAGTATCATCCCTTGTGCATGAAATTCAGTTCAGCACTTGAGCAGAAAAAAGTGGTGGAAAAAAAGGAATTTGGGGCAATTGACTATGATGCACCTGTTGAGTTGGAGAAGAAGGAGAAGAAATCAATTGGACTTGGTACACAGGTAAACTTTGCTGCTTTCTGCGTTCTAACTGTAAATAAATGCTAAGAATCATTTTTTACACTACACATATTGCTAATCCAAAGTTTTCATGGAACAGATTGGAGTAGGTGTAGCTGTAGTGGTCTTTGGTTTGGTTTTTGCTCTTGGAGATTTTCTTCCTTCCGGAAGGTATGACGTAGTTGATTAAAGGTCTTTTCAGATTAAAGTATCCTTATATTTCTATCTTTCTCGTGTCTGCCAATGACCATTTGATTTGTCATATTGTTCCCGTATCTTTACCTTGGCACATGATATCAGACTGGGTGGAAAAATCATGAAACATTAAAGATTTATGCTATCTCTCTATCCACTTGATTAAAGAGGAAGGTGTATATCTATATGTATTGTGTACATACATAACTATGTTGTTTCCTTTTAGTTATATATAAATCTTTCTGACAGTCTGTCAGAATTTAAAATCTGATATCTCAAAATTCGTTGGAGTTAATCTATTCTTTTACTGTTTCTTCTTTATGTTTTGAAAATAATAGTTAATCTACTTTATGAAGAGAATTAATATCTGGGAAGGAACAAGGCTGCTTTAGGGTTTTAAACTATTGGTATTTTGTTATTGACTTCCTCATCTTCTTAATATCCTTCTTATTACAGCAGTTGATTGTTGAGTAATTGCAGAGGAATGATTTCATTTTGATATGGTCTTCAAGTTTTCAGTTTAAGTCCTACTGAGGATGCTGCAGTAACCAGTAACAAACTGTCTGAAGAAGAGAAAGTGTCACTTCAGGTAATGCTCAAGGGAAAAATATTCTGTCTTTGCGTTTTTCATTTAGTGGTGTTGTTGTATGTTGTACTGTAGGAGTTGAAGCCTGTCTGTTATATTCTCTCTTCTCTTTGATGGACTAAGCATCTTTCTTTCATTTCTGTTTCCTGATTTTTTTGATTTTGCATTTTAAATTTGTGTCTTTTCATATTACTTCGTATTAAAAGATCCTTCACACGTTTACCCTTGATTTGTGACAGACTCGGCTGAAAGAATATGAAGCAATGCTTAGTAACTCCCCGAAGGATCCAACTGCTCTTGAGGTGAGTTGTAGTGTGAAACGCAAGACTATTCTTCTTCCTTTGTTACTGAATCCTCAAGTGGCAGCCATATCAAATATTCTCTTGGGGCTTTGCAGGGAGCTGCAGTAACCTTGGCAGAATTAGGAGAATATACTCGGGCTTCCACTCTGCTTCAGGACTTGGCTAAGGTTTGTTCTTGTTTTTGCTTTTGGATTTATTGCTCATTGTATGTGGCACATGCTGTTTAAAATATTCTGTCTAGGAAATTATCACGCTGATAGGGTGGGTACACAGGAGAAACCAAGTGATCCTGAAGTTTTTCGTTTGCTTGGAGAAGTTAAATATG